CCCCAAAACCCCAAAACCCCAAAACCCCAAAACCCCTGCCTGTGCAGGCAAGGTTGAACTTTACTAATTTCTATATATTCTGATGCTAATATTCCTTGACCCTTACTATAGCCTCACACTGAACTGGAGAGTATTTCAATGATGTTGGCTTTAATATTAGAAGCAACTCATATCCTTTAATAGAATTCCGGTGATATTTTTAAACATAATTTTAAACATTTTCACCTAAATTTGACATTCGTGCAACGAATTTAAACTAAAAGCATTTTTGGAGTTGCAGATTCAAAAAAGTGGGTGAACTTTGTTGCCTACTAACACCCATATTTCCCAACCGATCCTAAAGAGGGTTTACCCATATGGAAGTATTTTAATAGATAAATGCTGGTTTTAGGGCAATCAGAAATAATTTGATTTTAAGAGCAATATTTTGGACAAGTGTTCAACAACAGTTTGAAATTTCAGAATTTATAGAAAGAATTCGTTACCAGAAATTTCAGTTAATTAATGCAAGTACGGGAAGATTTCATCGATTAATGTGGATTTTGAGGTATTAAGCACCTCCCTTTGGTATCTTGAGAAGAACTTGATGTCATGAATTAGGGAATTTGAAATAAAGTATCAAACTTTTCGCATTTATTGTGCCAAGAAAGCCTAATCAGAAAACTAAGAAAATGATATATTTGCTAAAATCCAAGAAATAACACTTGTTCAAACTTGGAGAGTTTATATTTACAGATCAGGCCTTGTTAATTCAGATTTTCGTAAGCCATAAAACCAAAATTGATTTAGCTCCTCCTTGCGACTTCTTTTTATCGTTAGAGATTATCTGTTCCTCCCCTTTGTTAGTAAAGAGATATTTGAAACTTCAAAGTATTTATAAGAATTAAATTAAGAAGATATGCTAGCAATGAATTTAGACTCTGGCCATCTCCATTTGGTTAGCAGCAGTCCTAGTTTCGATGATTCTGGGCCTTTGCTCAACCTCGATGGGAGCACTATCGATCTCTAGAGGATCTAACTTTGATCTAGGAGATCCCAGGCTTGGATTTTTGATAAATTTGTGAGAATTCTCTAAAAGCATATCTCTTCTTTTATCTCCATGAGCTATAATTACAGTTAAATTTCTTCATTTTGTTATGTAATGTTGTCATATCAAAAAACGGTGAGTATGATTCTGAACTAGGAAACTGGCTGAGGAAAACAAATTGAAATAACAACAGCGGGGATGCATCTCAATTGTTCTCCTTTCCTGTTAAAAGGACTAGATTAAACTGTCCCATTTCTGGAACTTTTCATAAGATTTTCGTCACACATTACAAAGATTTCAAAGCATTGGAAGGTAATTATTGGATACACAAATCTCCATTTCATCATCTTAGGCCAAGGCATTAAATACTTGAAGTAGTCTGGCAAGAAAGTAGAAAGCAACCAGAAATCCTTATGGCCTTAACTTCCTAAAGTTGTTCTGAGCAGAAGTTCTCGAATTAGCAGAAAATTGCTACCATACCCGAATTAAGTTGGAATAAGAATGTAACTTCCATCAGATATGCTACCTATCGTAATGAATTGTCTTTGTACTCTTAGTGAGCGAAAAATTGCTAATGCCCAAATCGACAGAAACAAAAGAAATGAGTATTTCTTACAAGTTGATTGGACTTCCTTTGCTTGTTCAAGCTTTGGAGTCTCTGGTTGAGGGCTCTCTACTATTCTGAGTCTCACAATGATCTTGTGAACAATGTCCTCCTGGATTTCAATTTTGTCAATCAAGGTTTTCTGTGTCTCTTGCAATTCTTCACGAGTCTTCTGTGTATTTGGATCCTAAAATAGCACCAATGAGGATACATTTTGTAAATTAGTATGCAGTATAAGGGCATAGATCCAACCAAGTAGCCTTGGGTGGAGGGAAGTTATAGCCTTACCTTGTTGGCCTCCAAAGCATTGAGTTCCTTTTCAATAGATTCCACTCTTTCCATATACTTTTTGATTATCTAAAAGTAAGTCAGTTGTTGAAACTTCATTCTGACGACAATGCTTTCAAAATAAAAGATAATAAGCCAAAAATGGCATATGGAACTGAGCAATGTCTATATGACTAAGAAATAAGATATTTTGAGAAGTCATAAGAAACTTTGGTAAGAAGCTAACGGTTAGATTTTCACCTACCCTCTTTCTCTTATCTACGTCCTCAACGACACGGTCTCTGAACATTCCCTTGTACTGGGTTTGCTTTTTGATGACCTTAGTTCTATTATTTGACGATCCGCTGCAGCCCATTGTTTTTATTCTCTTTTAATAATATTATTTCATCTTTACTTTAAAAGTCTGGGGTTTTGGGGTTTTGGGGTTTTGGGGTTTTGGGG